CGACCACGTGATTCGGCCCGGCGGCCCCGCAGGCCGGCGCTGGGCCGGGCCTGACGGCGGGGTGAGTCACCACGCCGGTGCCGCAGGTGGGCCTGCTCCTCTCCTGGGTGGAAGGCACTCCCGGGGACCAAGGAGCAAGGAAGGGTCCTAAAGGCCCCTCCGGACACAAGAGTGAAGAGCCGGGGATGCAGGGTTGTCTTTGATGCTCTGCCCCCCGCCCCCCAACTGGCAGTTTGCCCGCACTACCTGTGACTTTTAGTTGAAACATTTTGCGGGACGTATCTATAAAACGCTTAAATTGTATGAACGGCATTGGTGATGCAGATCTTTGGTCCGTGGCACGCAGTAGGGGCTGGGGAGGCACATGGTTGAGGGAGAGAATGGTGGTGAGCCCCGGGAACTGCCTTGTGTTGCAGTGGCCCACGTCCTGGGGTGGCGCGTTGTCCACCAGGGGTCTCGTCTTTCGCTGGGCAGGCGGTGCTTTGAGTCACCTTGGAGGAGGCCCAGGTGGCAGGGGAGTCCTCTGAGCAGTTGTGGTGCAGAGAGTGGGCCTTGTGATGTCTCTTTTGGCTGCTCAGATGCCTTTCTGTTCCCTTTGGCTTCCTGCTGCCCTGGAGAGGGTGAGGTTAATGGAAAGCTAATTGTGCGTGGGTGGTTTCATCACCTCACAAAGAAACCCTGTCCCCGTCCCCCAGCCCCCCAACACTAAGCGACCACCAATCTACGTTTGGTCCCTGTAGATTTGCCACATCTGGCCATTCGTATAAATGGGACTGTATAATACATGGTCTTTTGTGTCTGGCTTCTCTCACTTAGCGTAACGTTTTCAAGAGTAATGCGTGTTGTAGCGTGTGTCAGCACTTCAGTTCTTTCATTGCCAAATACTCTTCCATTGTTTGCATAGACGACCTGCTGTGTATCTATTACGTAACATGGACATTTAGGTCATTTTCACTTTGGGGCTGTTAGGAGTAATGCTGTATGAACATTCCTTTACAGGTTTTCTGTGGAAGTTGTCATTTCTCTGGGTATATACCTAGGAGTGGAATTGCTGGGACATATGGTACCTCTGCGTTTAACGTTTTGAGGAACTGCCAGACTTTTTCATTTTACTTTCCCACCAGCAACATAAGAGGATTCTGATTTCTCCACACCCTTAGCAAACTTATTATTGTTTCTTTTTGGATAGTAGCCGTTCTAGAACGTGTGGAGTGTATCTCATTGGTTTTGATTTGCATATCCTTGATGGTTAATGATACTGTCTTTTCTTGAGCTTATCATCCATTTCTGTATCTTTGGAGGAATGTCTGTTCAGGTCCTCTTTGCCCATTTAAAAATACGGTTAATTGTCCTTTTTATTATTGAATTGTAAGAGTTCTTTATATATTCTCTATATGATTTGAAAATATATGTGTCTCTCATTCTGTGAATTATTTTCACTTTCTTGGTAGGTGTCCTTTGAAGCACAAAGTTTAAAACTTTGTCCAATTTATTTTTTTCTCTTTTCACTTGTGCTTTTGGTGTCATATCTAAGCATTATTGCCAAATTCAAGGTTATAAAAATCTATGCTTATGTTTTTTTTCTTTTTTTTCTAAGAGTTTAATACTTTTAGTTCAGACATTTAGGTCTTTGATCCATTTTTCAGTTAGTTTTTGTGTGTGGAGTGAGGTAGGGGTCCAGAGGCATTACCTCTGGATCCAGAAAATCCCAGGCTTTTAATTATTCAAACAGCTGTTTCCATGATTTTTCAAAAACTTAAAGTATTGAGAGGGTAATAAATTATTGTAGATTTGAGCCTATCACTAGCTGCCCTTGGGTAGAGTTTTATAGATGCTGGCTGATAACTGCGATACCCAGAATGTACTAAGCAACCTGCAGAAGTCAGGGTTTCCAAAGGGGAAATTGAGTGTGAGGAGGGCCAGCAGAGCATCACCCCTCCAGTTCCTAAAGCATGGCAAGCCGTGTGCCGATACAAATGGTGTGTGCCTGTGACTGGTTTGTTTCTGGAGAACAAGGGGATTGTATTCATCTGTAATGTCTGGCAGTGCAGTGTCCAGTCAAGAGGTGCTGAGCTGGTGGCTTGGGGAATTGGAGTCTTGGTCCTGTACAGTAACCGTGCCCGTTCATCAGAGATGCAGCCTGCTTCTCCTTTGCCCCTCTTCACATTCCGATAGCCGTCGCCACGCTGGGTTTTATCCCAGCCACATCATGATCCCTTCCTTCAGGGAGTGCTTCTCTTATGTTATTTTTCCTTAAAAACCCAGGGTAATAGAATTTTATGATTTTTAGTAGAGTCATAAATTAGGATGGATCAGAAATGGAAAGCAATCAGGATTCTAGCAAACAGGAAATGTATGTTAGCAATTGAGGCAATAGTTTCTGATTGCATTAAGAAGAAACTTCAAACAGTTATAAATCTTTTGGAACTTCTTTATTTTCTGTAGTTTCTCACTGTGGCTGAAAATCCGTTGAGTTTTTTGGTTAGTGAAATGTAACTCTTCCCCCCCTCCTTTCACATTGCTCTGCAAAACCTCGTTACGTTTGGGAGGATTTCAGAGGTATTCTAAAAGGATCTCCACATGTAAAGATTTGCCCTGGGTGCCCCTCAGCACATAGCCTTCTGAGCTTTTTACTCTTAATCTTTTTACAGACAGAATCATTCACAAATGCCTGGAAATTCCTCGTTGGATTCCCGTGTTTTAAACAGAGTTTTGTGAGCATCTTCCATCTTTACTTGGAAAAGAAAGGTTTGTGCACTGTGAACATTCTCCTGTGCTCTCCCGTGGGTGGGCAAGGTAAACCCCTTTGACAGGGAACACGAGGGGTGTTCTTTTGCTGGGTTTGCAGAGATTGGGATGATAACTGTCTGGGAGGAAATTTCCTTGTTTGAAAAATAAAGTCAATTTCCAGTGTTGCCTGTGGTCTAGGAAGTGGAGGGGATTCCGCAGAACTCTGGAGTGCAGGACCTGGAGCATCTCTGTCCTGTCTGAGCAGCCACCTGGTGCCTTCTTCCTGTCCCATGGTGGGCGGCAGAGGCAGCGGGCACGATGTTAGGGAGATCCTGGAAGTGCTCACCTGTACACGAGTGAAGCCGGCTTCCAGAAAGATGGGTGAAGAGTGGGCTCTGCTAGTGTTAGCCCCACGAGTCTGGAAAAGTCTCTGGCTGGGACATCGGCTTTCACCTTCGCCTTCGGGGGGAAGTGAGCCTCGCTGGAGACCCCCGTCTTTTGTGTGACCGTCTCCTCAGTGGTTGGAACTCTAGGCAGCTAGAGTCCTGCAGGTGGGCAGCCCCTTCTCCAGGACAGTGTGGTGTCACGGGGCACACTTGCCTTGGGGAGTCAGAGACTGAGGGCAAACCGTTTAGCTTCAGGCAGCTGTTTCCCCATCTGTGAATGGGCGCATTGGTTGTACTGAACCTAGTCCGTCGGCTCTCGAAAATTGTGTCAAAAGCAGTTCACATCTGGGAAATTCTTTTTTTTTTTTTTTTTTTTAAGAAACTATTTCTTGGTTAAGTTCTATGTGTTCTATGTTTCACTTTAATCTCAAAAGAAACTGGTCTTTTATTTATTTATTTATTTATCTATCTATCTTTGGCTGCGTTGGGTCCTTGTTCCTGCATGCGGGCTTTCTGTAGTTGCGGCACGTGGGCTCAGTAGTTGTGGCGCACGAGCTCTAGAGCACAGGCTCAGCAGTTGGCGGTGCACAGGCTCAGTTGCTCCGTGGCATGTGGGATCTTCCCGGACCACGGCTCGAACCCGTGTCCCCTCCATTGGCAGGCGGATTCTTAACCACTGAGCCACCAGGGAAGTCCACGTGTGGGAAATTGTTGCCATGCTTTGCCATACCTGGTCAGAGGGGAACAGGGTTTGAAGTGGCCATGAAGGGACATTGCTGGTCCTGTCCCACCTGGTGGCACATGATTCCCTGCCCAGGTGACATGGTGGGAGTTGCATCTGGAAATCTGAGAGCCCTGCGCCCTGATTCGCCCCCGCCACTGCCTTGGACTTGTGACCCAGCGGAGCTGGCAGGGGGTGGTGGACCTGGACAGGGGAGTCTCAGGCTTGTGAAGGGCTCTCGTCCAGTCTGGGTTCACACAGAAGCACAGTGACCCCACAGGGCGAGACTTGCTCGTTCTCAGTTCAGACGCTGCGATGGGGCTTCTGGTTGATTAGATGAAAATAAGCTTTCAGTTGCTTCCTGGCCTATGTGAAATTTTATAAGTACTTTTGGGGAGAATGAATCCATTCTTCTCATACATAGTTTTCTTTTGAAACCCTTAAAAGCTAGATTTTGCCTTTGCAGTTAAGAAAAGAACGATGTGGTTCAGTTGTGAAGCTGCATCATTGTTCTGTCCACTACATAAAATATACAGAATTTCAGGACTCTACTGAGGAGGCAGGGTGGCCAGTCTTCAGAGCTGCCTTGTAGAGGACAGGTTGGCATTTGTGTGCTGTTTTCCCAAGTAGATGGCAAAGCAACGCTTGAAATATTTATTGACAGAGTCCGAGTTAAGAAAGTCATTATTAAGTTTCCAGTAATTTCCAAATTTCCACTTTGAAGTTAAGATGGGTGCTTTTTAAAAGAACGGTGGTAAAATACAACAAAATTTACCGTTGATGACATTCGGTGCATTCCCAATGTTTGACGGTATCGTTGTCAGGAGACTTAGTGGGAGAGGAAGATATTCCCAGTGAGTGAAGTAAGCGCACACATGACTTTTTTATTTTCCAGAAAATTTCCTCACTTGAGTTGAAGCCAGGAGCATTTCTTATGTGTTTCTGATGCCGGTTGACAGCAGTATTAGAGCTAAAAAATGTTGCGTTTCTTCTCTTCCTATGGGTGTCACTCAGGCATGGGGATTATGAGTGACTGTTTGAGCTTGTGGCCCCCCAGCCTGCCCTGTGTCCTCTAGGGTTTTGGGGTCCCAGGCAAAGGTGTCTGCGTCAGCCTCTGCGCAGGGTTCTCCCGGGCCTCTGTAACTGCGGTGCTGCTCTTCCAGATGTGGAAAGCCTCGGCCGGCCACACCGTGTCCATCACCCAGGACGACGCGGGAGCCGACGACTGGGAAACTGACCCTGATTTCGTGGTACAAGTCACCAGTCTGCCTGCCTTTCACGTCTCCCGGAGTGGATTTCCCCAGGGTTTGGGTTTGGGTGGGCGGGTGGGTGGTTGTCTTACAATCCAGGCTGTGGGGTGCACTCGTCATTTATTTTTCTTTTCAGAATGATGTAAGTGAAAAAGAGCAGCGATGGGGGGCCAAAACCGTCCAGGGGTCTGGGCACCAGGAACACATCAAGTAAGAGACTTTCTCAGTATTTGTGTGACAGTGATGTTCTGAAAGATGAAGAGATAAGGCAGGGATAAGAGATAAGGTCATGGCTTCATATGGTGGAATTGCTTTTGTTTTGTGGCTCGATATTTTGTTTTATTTTTTGCAGCATTATTCTTTGTATGTATGTATGTATGTATGTTTTGGCTGCGTTGGGTCTTTGTCGCTGCGCGCTGTGACTTGATATTTATACAGTAGGTGAATGTAAGATCTGACGTATACATCTACGTGTTTGTGTACGTGTACGTGTACGTATACGGACGTGCTCGGTAACTTAAAAATTCCCATCGCAAATGACTTCCGTGCTTCCAATTCTAGAGTCTGTTTTTCAATATTGTGGTTTTCATCGAGGAACACAGTTACCTAAGTAAGCTCTTCTCTCTGCTGATGGGAGGTTTCTAAAGCGTGGATGTCTTTGAATACTTTAGACCATAAACACCCTTCTTTAATTTTTATTATTTTGTTATACTTTTATTATTTTATCGTCATCAGTTGGATGCCATGAGCTGAATTCTAAGCATTGTGTTCGCATAAAAGCCTCAAATAGGAGAGCTGCTTGAAGCGTGTCATTGTCTGACTCGGCACTGTCGAAACTGGCCACCTCTGGGGCAGCTTGTTTTCCTGTCGGGAGGTGTAGATAAAGGGACCTTTTAGAATGTGCTCAGTCTGTGCCAGCTTCAGAGTGTGTGCTCCAGTGCGCTGATTGTGAAGGTGTCCTCACGGACTGGTGACCCGCTTTGGCCACTGGCAGAGAGCTGGTCTTGCTTGGCCCTAGGATCTTTGCAGTAAAATGAAGCTGTTCTTGGCTGAGAGAGACTCAGTAGATCGTCCCGAAAAGGAGGTGAAGTCTGCAGCTCGGGCGTTTTGGACACCGGTGTTCCTCCCTCCCTGAGTCGCTGAGCCCACCCTCTCCCCACAAGCCCCTGAAGAAGGGCCTGGCACCAGCCGGAGGAGGTGCTGCCCAGGGCTGACTCGGGTCACCCGCTGTGGGGTTAGGCTGCCTTCTGGCTTGATGCCGTCTGGGCCTCTCATCTCTTCTGTTGCCCGTGGCCTCTGAACATGTTGGGGAGGGCGGGTTGGAGGAGAAAGGAGCTCTCTCATCAGGCAGCCTCCGGGTGGGTAGAGCTCAGAGAGCTCACAGGGACAGGACGGCTGTTGCTCCTCCCGTGTTCTTGGGAGGCTGGTCTTCCTCCCGTGCTCGTCAGGGGGTCGGGAGGTGGCCAGGCCTGGTTGGTTTTGTAGCTGAACTTCTGGGATTGTTGTCCAGATGTTGAGGTGTGGACGTGTTGTCCCTTGGGCAGAGAGGCACCGGATCAGGTGGCCGTCGTGTTGCTGTGGGTCTCCCGACGGAGACAGCTGCAGAGGCTTCCTGGCCTGCCTGGTTTTGGCCACATCTTGTGATCTGTCCCACTGTTCCCAGTGTTTAAAGTAAAAGTGGTGCTCACGTTGTAAATTCTGCAAACCTCTCACTTCACCTTTGAATGAAAAGCTGGAGCATTCCAAGGGAAGAGCAACCGTCTAAGTGTTGTGCATCTCTGGGCTTCTGTCCTAGGGCTGCCTGGGGTGCGGGGCTGCTGGCGCTGCTTTTCCCTCTGCCTCTGGGGACGTTTATACAGAGCTAGCTCTCCCAAGTCTGATAAACCCTGAGGAGCTCTTCCCTTATGGGAGAAAGTCCACTTTCAGCACAGCTCTCTGTGTGTGTGTGTGTGTGGGGGGGTTTGGGATGACTCACTGTGTGAGTTCAGATCAGTTTCTTTTTTCTGTTAACTTGCATCTGAGTCTGAGAACTGCTGAAGTTGGGGGACCAGCTGGTGGAACAATAAAGCAAGCACAAGGGAGACAGGGATTGGGGAGCCACCGAGTAGTGAAACCTTGCAGATCTGCCGAGATGACACGTCCTGTCCTCGTCTGTCCCCCTGGAAAGCAAGGACGCACGTCTGTCTGACCGGTTTCTTCCTGTTTGATCTCTTCCCCCCAAGCATACACAAGCTGAGAGAGAATGTGTTTCAAGAACACCAGACCCTCAAGGAGAAGGAGCTCGAAACGGGACCCAAAGCCTCGCACGGCTACGGAGGGAAGTTTGGTGTGGAGCAGGACAGAATGGACAGAGTAAGTGCCCGGCCGCGTCGCGGTGGGTCCTGGCGTGCCTGACCTCACCGTAATCGGCAGAGTGGTCACTCAGGAGCCTCCCCCTTAGATGAATGAAAAGTTGGGAGTCCACTTGTTGAGGACGGATTTGCCAGAAGTAATCCTCTCTCCATTGACCTTGCCCGCGAAGGGCTCCCGTTTTTGGAAGGTCTTTTAAGATGCTGAGTTGCTGGGGAGTGGGTGGTGTGTCGGCAGCCCCGGAGCGGGAGATCAGGTTCTGCCAGCGGCCGCTCTGTGACCAGGACTGAGGCCTGGAAACTGCCTGACCGCGGGTATGGTCGCCACCGCGGCGGTT